GTGTGTGTGTGTGTGTGTGTGTGTGTGTGTGTGTGTGTGTGTGTGTGTGTGTGTGCATGCATGCCAGTTTTTTTAATTCTATATTCTCCAATTTTGCCAAAGAGGTGTAATAAAATAATATAATAACCAGAGAAACATAACCTCACACCTATGGGATCAGCTCAAGAATATTGCAACAAATCAAAAAATTAAAATTTTAACGATTAAACAAAGTAGAGTCAGACTACCTGGTGTTTCTGCCTGAGTTTCCTTCTCTTCTTGTTGCTTCTCAGTGCTCTCTTTAGAATCTGCTTTCTCCGTTTCTTTCTTTTTCTTTGGTGTAGCAACACGGGCTTTATTAAGTAAGTACTTCACTTCTCGATCAAGAGATGCAAGTTTTTCTGCTATGGCTCTAACAGTTAATTTAGGTCTCTCGTATAACGGTAGTGCAGCTTGTTCCTTCTCACTGTTCTCTTTCCACTCCTATAAAAAATATGCATGTTTTAGTTAAATATACTGAGTTACAAGTTAGGCCTACAGGAAATTTAACTTATCTCCAGTATTAAATCGATTAGGAAAGTAATTAACTAATAATAACTGTATGCTAAAGCATGTTTAACATAAACCACAACACAACTTTGAAATCACAAGTGGGCTATACAAAAAGCAGTGCTCTTGCCTCAGACAGACCCATAAACAGTATCAGAAAAAACTTACTTGAATGTAGATTCTGATGCTACCTTTAGCTTCACAGTAAGTCTGATTAAAGACTGTTTACTTTTGTTGTGTAACATAGTTTGTTTCCACACAATAATGACACAAATAGACAAAACGTTCATAATTATACATTGACACTGCACCATCATAGGATTACAAATACCTTAACTAGATTTTAAATTCCCAGTTTCCCAGCCAATTAGAGAAAAGTATTTTGTTCTACCTGGTATTATGATGTGTTCCAAACAAGGTAGTTGTCATTTATTTGAAATAAAGAGGATACATATGATTTAATTCTTTTCTGGTAATTCTGTTAAAAAACAAACTATACCAGGTGTTTAATGTTTCTATTTGGAACACTGAAATAAAAGTTTATTTTCAAAATAAGTTCCTCTCTCTTATCTACACAGATATTATCGATACAGTATCATACTAATCATATTAACTGCACAGCACATTTCACAGCAGATTGCTTAACTTGAATTTAATTCCATTCACTTCATGCAGATGTTACATAATAATTCCATGATAATAACTTTGGAGCAACTGCATGCAGCTTCAGAACATCCCATCTAAATAAAGAGCTCCAAATCTATTCATAGCTTCAGATCGTTGAAACTTAAGTTTGAACCCTTATGTCTGGATAAAGTTGTTTCTGACCATTAAATATCTACTATATATCAAACAATACTAACGATCATAGAATATTAGCATAATAAAGTCACATAACAGTTTAGAATAATCATAAGCTTCAATGTATTCGAATGAAATTCTTCTTGTTCAAAAGCAATCACTTATTTTAAAACCTGGTATGGCCAAAATATTTTTATCTTCCATGCAGTGAAAAACAATTTTAACTGTAATTTCTACACTACCAAAAGTATGTATGTATGTATGTACTATATGTATGCATGCAGACAGATAACTTCTAAAGGCTAAGTATGTTTAGTTTGTTTACTGGTTCTAGAGAAGATAACTATCATTAAAGAAACGTATTGTTTATCACTAATGTATAACTTGAGATTTTGAAACTGATGTCGAAGAAATGGAGAGTGGAGCATGTTACTTATCTTTCAATGTATTTAGTTAGTTTTGCTTTGTTTTTATTTTTCACAAATGTCCTGAAACTCTCTTTCCTGTTTTCATTATTATTATTATTATAATTCAACATATATATATAAAGTCAGTGTGTATTATTTCATCTATTTACCTTAAAGAAAGATTTAAATGATATGATTACCCACTACAAATGGGTAAGTTTCCAAAGACTTATTTTTACTGGATAAGATTATATAATTGCACTGTCTTTAAACTAACTGCACTAAAATTTGTAGAATATAGTAAAAGTTTATCTGTCCCTCTCTAGTGTTTTCAATCTTTTTTTTTCTTTTCTTTTTTTTACAATTGGACAGATATAATACCTCAAGGTTTGAATGTAGGTCTATAACCAACACCTTTTTTGTAAAATGCTAAAGCTTACCAATGACTTACAGCTCTAACCTCTGAAGAAGATTTTTTTTTAATTTCAGAGTAATAGTATCAAGCTGTTATTAGTAATAAATTATTCCCTGATGCTTAATTAGGATCTACTTGTATAATGATAGTTTTATAATAACAAACATTAAATACTTACTTCAGTTTCCTTTATTAATTTTTCAAGAGTACTAAGCTCAACTTCTGTAAACATTTGGTCCTCTTCACTCAAGTTCTTGGCTCCTTCATAAAATACTCTGCTGATGTTTAACATTTCTTTCAGGGAGTTAAGTGCCTCTGGGCGTTCCTTGTGTTCTTTCACTCTATCAAAGAGCTCTTTCATTGTGTCTTTCAGCTCTGACAATTTATCTTTAAATACCTAAGCAATAAAAAACAATTGCTGTAAACCACATATTACTCAAAAACAGAAAATCTATGAGTGTGTTATATGGCATTGTATAACATACTTAGTTCTATAAATAATTGCATTTTTCAAAGGTAATATTCATTCTAATTATCAATTTCCTCTATTAACAACAGGCCTGATAACTTTTTAGGTAATTATCTGATTAAAAGTCAGTGTAACATCTTAAACCTTATATACACAGAAGACTGAGCAATCTTTCCAGCAGTCTATAGTAGGTTGATACATGTAAAGGCTGCTTTTTGTTTGGGGGGAGGGGGTATAGTATATTTTTTTTAAATAATATAGTGCCATATATCAAATAACATTGACATACATTTAACTGTTGGTTCAGCATGTTGAAATAGTAAAACAAAGAATTTTTCTGTATAACCACAGTATGAAAGTTAAAAGCAGAATTCTATCTAATCCAATTTTAAACAGACTATAAACAGGAAGCAAGGAGCATTTAAAATTTTCCATCCGTTATGAATGTTTAGTTACCATACAAGTATTGATGATCATTTCACTTGTTAATTTACTTCTTATCACATTTAAAAGTACAAATGAAAAACTGATATGAGATCATTATTAAAGAAAAAGTGATGTTTACTACTTGGGTCTTTTTTCTTTTTATGTATTATCACAAACAAAGCTTTGGAAAAATTAAACAAACCTTTGTTTCAGCAGCATCAGATTCATATTCAAACCATTCAGATGCTTCATTTAATTTTACAAAATAACCATCCCTTTCTTCTGCTGTTGATGCCTTTTCATACTCTTCCATATAAAGTTTATGTTTCGTCTCATGAATGAAAGATTCTAGATTGTTTTTAGCCTGATCTCGTTGAAGCTTGTCACGATCTTTTTCATCTAGTTCCAGCAACCTATACAAATCAAACATGGTACGTGTTCTTACAAAATTTCTGTTTTTTTCTTAAATGATTTGATCTTATTTCTTGATCTAAATGAACTTGTATGACAAAAACAAAGTAACACACTGATAGTTAATTTAATCTAGTATTGAAGTAATTATAAAAGAACTATTAAATTTCAGATGAGTATATGTATTTACAATAATAGTTTGTATAAAACTACTATACACTAGTGAAATTTTGTTGAATGGACGGCAACTGCCTGTTGTAGAAACACAAGTGTAGAAGGCGACATTTCGAAAGTCTTCTACATTTCGTCTTCAATCTATTAAAGAATACTATACACTAATGTTAACCCTGACTTTTAATCTCAAATAATCCAAGAAATAGCAATAAAATATACAGATTCCAGATTTTGATATAAATTAGCTTTGACTTTGGATAAAGTAACACAAAAACATGCACAAAGAAATTAAGACTGTAATCTTCAATTTTGACCTTTTGCTCCCAAATTATGATTTTTTTTCTTGAAGACAAATTGTTGTCACAGAGTTCCTTTTCTCCTTAAAGGGATTTTAAATTTCTCAATGATGGATTATTATATCAGATGTCTCTACCTGGTCACATTAAATAATCCAATTCTAACAGCTTCCCCAGCTTAGAATTATAATCTATTCATAAGTTGCATGTCACTGGTTCCACTGGTCACATTTATTTTACTGAAGTAATTTCATTACTACAATAGTGTGTCTTTCTGATATAAAAATGTCTTATAAGAAACTTATACTTGTCAGATTCAAAGAAAAAGACCATCCATCCAGATAATGCATTCTGCAGTAGAGTTAGCAATCAACTCAATTACCTATGAGCATCAATTACATCCATTAGTGACACATAAAATAATCAACTAGTGTTTCTGATTGTTAGTGTTTTCAATTTTTCTAACTAACCAATAACTGGAATTATGATTAAGTTGATTAATGTCAAGAAAATAATCAACTAACTAAAACTGTGCTTCCAATTATTTTATTCCGTAATCAAAATCACAATTAATGTCATGAATTAATCAACTAATCAAAATAAGCATTTCCAATTATTCCAGCTATCCAGTAATTGAATACTGCAATTATGATTTTATATTAATTGAACTTTTGTTCAGTTCAATTGATTAGTGTCACAACTGAAAAAATAATTAACTTATTGAAATTAAGGTTTCTGATTATTCCAAATATTATCATTACATATGTTTTTAAGCACAAAGCTACATAATGGGCTAAATGTGCTCTGCCCACCATAGGTGTGTAGCCTGATTTTTTAGCATTATAATCTTTTTATTTTTAATTAGCAAACTTGTGAGAATAATCAATTAGTTGGATGTAACCAAATGATGAGTCCAGTGACTAATCAATAAGCAAATTCACTAATCACCCAGCTTTGATGAATAAGTACCTAAGAAAAGTGGGTTACAGATCAACATTATGGGCATATTATGTAACAAAATAGTATGGTGAGTTTCAAATATGGTGACATATATAAAATATTAAATTATATGAATGCAAATGCACCATTTTCCTAAAATGACCAGAAAACTGAAAAGGACTAAACATGTACACTTATTTTTAAAAAACACACTTTGTGAATAATATGAAAAATTAATCATAAAACACAAATCTTATATTTTGACCATTATTTATCATTCCAGCCTCAAAAGAATAGATGACTTTCCTAACAAAAGGTTTATACTAACTTGCTTCTGCTGGCTCTGGATTCATCTTCCGACAGATCACTAAGGTCTAGTTTGACCTCTTGGATGGAGATGTGTTCTTTCACAACATTAACCTTGGGTACTTTCTTCTGTTCCTCAGCTGTTTTGTTCTCTGCAGCTTTGGATTCTTCAGTTTTGTTCTAAACCAAAATAATAAAATATTTAATATTTCATAATAATACTGTGGACTTATAATGCTAGAAACTGGGTTTCAATGGATACCCATAGTGGGCATAGCACAGATAACCCATTGCATAGCTTTGTGCTTACCTATAAAAACAAAATATAATAATACTTTCTTTGTGATTCAAGTATCAGATAAAATAATTGTTGAAAACGATGTAAATTTCTTCAGTAGTTTTACTTTTTTTTTTATATTTTTTGTTTAAAAATTAATTTCTCTTTAATTTCTTAGCATAAGAATCTTTGTTCATAAAAAAATTACAATGTGAAATTAAAATATTCTACCTGTAATGTTAAAGAATTCAGAGATTAAACCAAATTCAAGCTAAAAAATTTCAGATCTAAAGACTAAGTACAATTTGTACTTTTAAAATTAATAATTGAAATTAACAGAAAATGAAGCATAATAATACTAGTTTTTTCAATAAAAATAAAGTAAAAAACAACAGGAAGTTGAAACCCAAAAACCATGTATGCATGCACCCATAATTTTTTTATACTTTCACCACTTACACCACAGTAATTAATGAAAACCTTCATAGCAAATGGTTTCATAACTCCAACCTATATTTCCATCCATCATAGTAGCACTTCATATTTTGTGACACTCATCTATTTTTGGTTTAAATGACTAAACTTTTGCATACAATAAAATTTAAATATATTTTACACTAGCATGGCAGATATTTGAATGTGTATTTTCAATCAGTTATGCACCTTATGAGACATGTGGGTTAAACAACCAAAACAGTCTCCAAGTTCCCTGATTTAGAACTGTTGACTCGAAATGGCAATCAGTCAACATCACCTAACACCTACACAGCTACTCTTAACCTGGTAGTTGGACTGACTTGTTACAGTTACAATCAAAAGTACATCACAACTCAAACCTTCCAATCCAAGGAGAACAGCTCTCAGATAAAGTCAACAGGAAAATTGGTAAACTCTTCTTGATTTATCAGTCCTGGTTGAAGCAGTTTGACTCAACTTACAATACTTCAGAAGTGATATTCTTGTAGAATTACTTATATGCTACTGTTACAAAAAACACATTTCTAGTAGCTTAATATTTGTTACTTTTGTTTTTGAAATTTCTTACTAACCACTAGGCGAAGCGTAGCCAAACAGTTTGAAAGTGTAAAACATTTCTTGAAGAAGAAACTAAGTAAAACAGTTCTCAGATAACAAAAAGACAAAAGGAAAAATTAATAAACTCTTCTTAAAATCTTGATTCACACTTGACAAGAAAGTAGCACTTAGCATGTTCTTTTATTTTGTATGTATGTATGGCATACAGGTAAAAGAACAAGACTAAAGTACAAGTTCAGTAAAACAAACCTGAGTTAGATCAAGCTTATGTTATTTAAACTTCGATATGTATATAAACATATTCTGAAAGTGACGGTACTTTTAAAATTTTCTTCCAATTAATATTATTTCCAAGAATTTTGTAACTTCTCAAAATAAGCAGAAGGAAAATATCTTGCATGAAACAAGTTGTTTACAGCTACATTTATCTTATACTGGTCATGTATTAGAATTTACAGTATTTTTAACAGAAGCAGTAAAAAAAAATTATAATAGTTGTTTTCATTTTATGAATGGCGAGCAAATATTCATTACCATTCTCATTACCCACACTTTAGGTATTACAACATCAATAGTACTACATGATAGAATTTTAGTAAATATGTTGAGATATGCTTTAAAAATAACCTGTTGAATTTTGTTTCTGATTACGATGTTACATAAAATGTCACTAATTCAAAGTAAGTTCATATAACAACAAATACCACATTAACGTTACCTCTTTTGACTGCTTGTCCACTTTTGCTGGATCTTCCTTGTCTTGCTGTATTACAATTTTGAAAAATAGTATGTCATAGAGATTTTCAAAAGTATTAGTCCTAGTATAATTAATTATTTATAATAAATATCTACACAAATAGATAAATCTAAGAAAACTTCGAACAATTACACACATTACATCTTGACAAAAACATATTCCAATAATAAATCTTTATTATGAAAAATTTTATCACTAATGCTATGAACACACATATTCTAATATGAAGAATTTTAACACCACCAGTAGTGCTATGAACACAAGTTAAACTTTGAAAAACTACAATTTCTAATTTGTTTTTCAAAATTTAATTTTTTACAACATAAGTACACTTCAAATAAGCATGCTTAACTTTTGTCTGATGACCTAAAATATTCTTTGTTTTGTAAATATTTCCCAATGTTTATTAAGTTTCATATCTTCATTACCATACACTAGACTGTATCATTAAAATTTACTTACAGGGCATTGAAGAAAAAGTACTTTTTTTTCAATTTCTTCTTAAATGCCAAAACTGACAAAAATAATTACATAATATAAAAGACACTTTTATATGTCAATCTTTTGGTCTATTACTTTTATTTACACACTACAAATGTTACAAGATTGTCTTCATCCACTGTACAAGATACATAGAGCTTTTATTAGCTATTGAAGCAGGACAAAGCAAAACTCATTTAAGGTGTTAATAAAATATTATAATGAAACTCTGGAGAAGGAATCTAAATGCTCATACAAAAATACAAGATAATGTATTCAAAGTCCCTTTGCTTTATAGCTACCACACAACATGTTTTGAAAGTGTAAAAACTGTTGATTCTCAAAAGCAGTACTGTGGGGTACAAAAGTTATAAAACCTGAAGAACAAATAAGAATCCGAGCATAATTTTTTTATGCATTCCAAAAATAAGACAGAATAGCAAATGCAGCATCTCAATTTTTTTTTTTTTTATAATAGATTACACATAAAATACAGAGCACCATAATACTCTTAGCTCAAGAACATAAATTGGCCATGTAAGATTTTAATAATGATCTCAACTCTCAAAATATTAAACAGATTTTTTTTTTTAAATGCATATATTTTTAGTCATAAGCCCTCTTCATGTGCTAGCTTTACAAAAAATGAAGTGATAAAATACAAGTTATGAATTTAAATTGAATTTAGGAGGAAAGATCAGTGTGCGGTGACATTAAAAACTTTCATAGTAAGGATAGGTAAAAAATATATAAATCAAAATTAATAATGGCAGTGGCTAATAAAATTAAAATTACTAATATCCATTTAATACTTTTAAAATCTACACTTTCACAAATGAAGACCAAGCATGAGGTGGGCATAGGTCACGCTGGTAGTTTAAAGGAAGAATGTACAAGCTTGTTCTTCAGAGTTGGTTTGGTTTGAATTTTGTACAAAGCTACACGAGAGCTATCAGCACTAGCTGTCCCTAATTTAGCAATGAAAGACTAGAGAGAAGGTAGCTAGTCATCACCACTAACTCTTGGGCTACTCTTTTACCAATGAATAGTGTCACATTATAATGCCACACCTGCTGAAAGGGTGAGCATATTCAGTGTGATGGGGATCAAACCCATGACTCTCAGATTGTGAGCTGAGATCCCTAACCACCTGGCATTGCCAGGCCATTCTTCATCCACTGAAATGGATGAGATGGTTGGTGAGTACCAACCTTTGTTTTTAACAGTGCTCACTCATCTATATTCTATTATGATGCTGTTCTTTCCTCATAAATTCTATTTAAATACCTAACTTGTATTTGATAAATTCACTAGTTACTTCTGTAGAGCTAACACCAGCAGAAGACCAAAGATATGTACATTGTTTTTTAAAATTTAATAAATGAATTTTTTTGGAGAATGTAGATCATTAAATCTCTTATTACACAGCAAACTGCACTCTCAGAAAGGCAGTACATAAATTAAAAC